CAGTGCTAGAAGGGAGTGGAGCTGGAGGAGGAGGAGGAGGAGGAGGAGGAGGAGGAGGAGGAGGAGGAGGAGGAGGAGGAGGAGGAGGAGGAGGAGGAGGATAACTGATAATGTGGGGTCCTTGATTCTCTCTGAGCTGGTGGTTTCTTGCAAACCAATTTCATGAACCAAACTGGGCTAACATCATCAATACCTAGCATCATAGAGCAATTGATGGATGCTACTTAGTTGGTTATAGAATGTCGCAAGGGAAAGTGTCAAGTTCAGAGAGCACCCAAGGACCCCACAGCCGCATCTCCTCCTCCTCCTCCTCATCATCACTACCAAACACCCTCCATAGCCCTGATGATGTTACCTAGTGGGTTCATGAATAGTCTGCAAGGAAACATCAAGCTCAGAGAGCACCAAGTACTCCACAGCTGTCGTCGTCATCGCATTCCTCCTCCTCCTCTCCTCATCTCTACAAACCACCCTCCTTTGTAGCCCTGCTGACGTTACGAGTTTGGTATGAAATGTCTGCAAGAAACAGATCAAGCTCACAGAGAGCACCAAGTACCCCACAGCAGTCTTTGTCGTTGTCGTTGTCATCCTCATCCTCCTCATCTTACTCCGATCATCCTCCTCCTATCTACAAACACCCTCCTGTAGCATGATGATGTTACCTAAGTCGGGGTCATAAAACGTCTGCAAGAGGAAAACTCAAGCTCAGAGAGCACCGAGGACCTCCGGTGAAGAAAACACGTCCATCCTTTGAACAGCCCCCCTCCAAAAAAGAATAAAAGTCCATTGTGACTGAAATGTGTTGGAGGAATCAAAAATAAATGAGGCAAGACCATCACTGCACAGATCCGTTTGTGCACAACGAATGGTTAAGACGTGTTTCGGACATAACGATGGTATTTGGCAGGTGAGGTAAATGTGGAGTTAACAGACTTTTGGGGTGAAATCCACTTTCCCTCCCCTCAAAATGTTATTAACCAGGGGTGTCTACTCCATAATGTAGGTAGTCCTGAACTTGTTTAGGACTGTTTTTCAAAGTCAGACGGCACTGAAAAAAAGTGACTATGACCGTTTTTCCCCACTTAACGACCGTTGCCGCATTCCCGCGGTCACAGTGATCAAAATTCAGACGCTCAAACACGGACTCGATTTATGATGGTTGCCCGTGCCTTCCCCAGAGTCACGTGATCCCCTTTGCGACTTTCTGACAAAGTCAATGGGGAAGCGAGACTCTCGCTTAATCACCTTGTTACCAACTTCCAACCTTCCGTGGATTCCTTCAGAAAGGGGCAAAATGAGTTAAACCTAACAAACCACCTCAATTCAACAACAGAAAATCGGGCTCAGTTGGGTCGTAAATCGAGGCTGCTGTATTTATTTATTATTTGGCTTTAAATCAGAGTATCTTCCCTAAGGTGTCTGCAAGGCGGGACTTAGAAATCGGCGGACAAGCAAGCGGGTTTAAAAAAACTGTCAGGCCATGCGGTTAATGACCAGGCTCTTTTATTCCCAGTCTGTGGCCGACAAACGCAATAACATGAAAAAGAGACAACCCTTCACTCCCTCAGCGGGTCGGCATACAATAAAGGGCGCCCAACGCAGATCACAAAAGATTTAATCGGGGATTTCTAAACGGTTCCCCGACTCTGTGTTTGGTTTTCTGACACAGCTTTAGAATGATGGTGTCCTTTAGCCTTCCAGTCACCAATCCCAGACTAGGAGCACCAAAGGTGGGGAGAATGGGAACTGGAGGTCCCACTTCCTGGACAGTTCCAGGTTGGGGAAATTGAGGTGTAATAACTTTTCAAAATCTAATGGGGGGTTGACTAGATGACCTAAAAGGGTACATTCAAACCTTGTAATTATTATTTATGATATTCTATTTATTCTATTTATTCTAAATAAAGAGTTCTATTCTATTCTTATTCTATTTTTCTATTCTATTTTGTTCTTTCATTGCTCTACGTATCTGTTATAGTCTATTCATTCTATTCTATTTTCTCTTCTAATTTCTATTTCTATATTCTTTCTACTTCTATTCTATATTCTATATTAAGATATATTCTATTCTCATTCTATCTATATTTCTCCCCATATACTATTTCTAGTTCTATTTTATTTCCTATTTCTATATTATATTCTTATCTATTCAATTTATTCTATTCAATATTCATGATATGTCTTATTTTATTTATTCTTAATTCTTTATTTCATTATATTTTGTTTTCGTTGCTCTTATCGTATTAATTCTTCTTTCTTTTCTATATTCTATTATACATCTCTTCTATATTCTATATATTATTCTATCCTATTCTATTACTATTCTATTCTATTCTATTCTATATACTATTTCTATTTCATTTTTTCTACTCTATTTCTATTCTAATTTTATATATTCTATTCTATTCCTATTTTGTTCTTTCAGGCTCTAATCTATCGATTCTAATTCTAATTCTATTTCGATATTTATTCTATATTCTAATCTATTCTATTCTATTTCTATATTCCATTTATTCTTATTCTATTCTATTCTATTCTTATTCTATTCTATTTTGTTCTTTCATTGCTCTATGTATTCTATTCTCTTTCTCTTTCTATATTCTATTCTACTTCTATTCTATATTTTATATTCTATTCTATTCCTATTTTGTTCTTTCATTGCTCTACTTATTCTATTCTAATTCTAATTCTATTTCTATATTCTATTCTATATTCTATATTCTATTCTATTCTATTCTATTCTATTCTATTCTATTCTATTCTATTCTATTCCTTCCAAGTACCTATAAATGCACGCATACACACATACTTGGTAGTCCTCAATTTACAACAGTTCATTTAGTGACTGTTCAAAGTTACGACGGCACTGAAAAAAGGGACTCATGACCGTTTTCCACATTTACGACCATTGCAGCATCCCTGTGGTCACATGATCCAAATTGGGATGCTTGGCAACTGACTCGTATTTATGACTGATGTAGTGTCGCGGGGGGGTCACGTGTTCCCCTTTTGCCACCTTCTGTCAAACAAAGTCAACGGGGAAGAAGCTGGATTCACTTCGCAACCGTGTTATTAAATTAACAACTGCAGCGATTCACTTAACGACTGTGGCAAGAAAGGTCATAAAATGGGGCAAAATTCACTTAACAAATGTCTCACTTAACAATGGAAATTTATGGTCGTAAGTCAAAGACTTGGCTTAAATTTGTCTGAAATGGTATAGGGCTTCTTGCCTGAGCAGGGGGTTGGACTAGATGACCTCCAAAGACCCTTCCAATTTCATTATTATTGTTGTTGTTGTTATTATCTGTATTTCTATATATTTCTATTTCTGCATATTTCTACTATTATTTTGATATATTTCTATTTCTATTATTTTTATATATTTTATATTTATTTCTATTTCTATCTTTTTCTATTATTTCAATATATTTCTATTATTTCTATTTATTTTGACTGCTATTATTTCTATTTTTTTCTAGTATTTCTGTTCCAGAAATCATGGGCGCTCCATCACTGGAGATTTTTAAGAAGAGACTAGACCAGTGGTTCTCAGCCTATGGGTCGGGACCCCATTTGGGGTCGAACGACCATTTCACGGGGGTCACCAAACAACGCAGTCCGCCATTTTTCCCCCCTTTTCCTTAGCTGTGCTCCTCCCTTTTATTCTATTGGCTTTTGAAAGCCAATAGAATAGACTCTCTTGAATAGAGTCTAATTCTATCGGCTTTCAAACGCCAATAGGAATTGTCCAGGCTGTCTCTGCCCTGCTGAGCCCGCCAAAAGTCCCATTCTGCAAACGGTGCTGCACCAGTTGAGTAGTCCTCGACTTACGACCGGTTGGGGGTTGCGGCATTAAAAAGGCTGAGAACCACTGGACTAGACAGTCACTTGTCTGAGATGGTATAGGGTCTCCTATTTGAGCAGGGGGTTGGACTAGATGACCTCCAAGGTCCCTTCCAACTTTACTTTGCTACTATTACTACTACCTCCAAGGTCCCTTCCAACTTTATTATTATTATTATTATTATTATTATTATTATTATTATTATGGATCATCGCACAGTCAGCCAGATGTTCAGACTGGATTTTGTCTACCTATCGAGTCCTCACCAAGGACCTGGGATAGGCAGATGTGGATGTTTGATGGTATTACAGATATTGTCGCAGGATGGAAGCAGTTCCTAATAAGGCCACCTTTTGCAATTGACTAATGGCAAATTTGTCAATGCCAATGGTGTTCAAGTGGTGCTCCAGTTGTTTTGGGGTTGCACCCAAGGAGCCTATGACTATTGGTACTACCCTTGCTTGCTTTTGCCACAGTCTTTCTGTTTCTATTTGTAGGTCTTTGTATTTTGTGATCTTCTCCAGTTCTTTCTCGTCTATTCTGCTGTCTCCAGGCACTGCCACGTCCACTATCCAGACTTTTTTGTCTTTCTTATTGACAATTGTTAAGTCCGGGGTATTATGTTGCAGGTGCTTGTCTGTTTATTATTATTATTATTATTATTATTATTATTATTATTATTATTATTATTATTACTACTACTACTACTACTACTACTACTACTACTACTACTACTATTACTATTGTTATTATTGTCCCTTCTGTCTCTACTCTCATCTAAATTCTATTATTTCTCTATATTTCTAATATTCCTATTTCTGTTTCTAAGTCTAGTTCCCCGTGAATCTCTCATCTCAAAAGCAAAGCGCTCAGCTCTTTTGCTTTCAATCAGGTAGAACAAGTTGAGAACCACTCAAGCCATCTTCCAACCACGGTAACTATAAAGTAAAAATTAAAAACAAAACAAAACAAGACTGAGAACTAAGTCAACTCCTCACCGCTTTGAATCTCTCCCACATTTAAAAATAAAGTCCAGAAAAGACAAGAAATAGAGGGAGCTAAAGAAAGAGAGAGAGAGAGAGAGAAAAGCCATTACAAACCATCAAATCCCAAAATGGAAAAGGTTAAAGGCCCATATATATATATATATTACCTTCCTTACTGAATCTCCATCAGCCGAAAAGGGGAATCTGGAGAAAAGCATATGAATTCCACCCTCTGCTAAATCTGGACCGGTTCCATCAAAGGTCCGGATTGCTCCAAGTCAAGACACACCCGGTCGCCCCTCGAAATAATCCTTAAAATGTGGGAAGCGTTCCTCGGCCGAGTTGGGTGCAGTTTCCCTGGATAAGTATATCTTGCCGACGCTTTCTTTCAACTTCACCTGAGCCACAAAGGCGGGGAAGCAAACTTGTTGGACCACAAATTTCTCAGCCACTTGGGAGATGTTTCCGCCGACAATTAGCCATGGAAATGAGGAAACGAGGCTGACTCATCAGAACGATCATCTTCGGGATCCTTGAGTAGCATTCCTGCCCAAAAAAAAAACAAAAACACACACCCCATCCTCCTTCTGGGGTTTTTTTGGCGTAAGGTGACCAACTTTTTTACAATGAAAAGGAGGACACAAATAAATGGAAGAAAAAAAATATCGTAAATAAAAGAAACATTTTATTCACTGCACATTTATCATACACTACAACAGCGGTTCTCAACCTGTGGGTCGGGACCCCATTTGGGGTCGAACGACCATTTCACGGGGGTCGCCAAACAACGCAGTCCGCCATTTTTCCCCCTCTTCCTTAGCTGTGCTACTCCCTTTTATTCTATTGGCTTTTGAAAGCCAATAGAATAGACTCTCTTGAATAGAGTCTAATTCTATTGCTTTCAAAAGCCAATAGGAATTGTCCAGGCTGTCTCTGCCCTGCTGAGCCCGCCAAAAGTCCCATTCTGCAAACGGTGCTGCACCAGTTGAGTAGTCCTCGACTTACGACCGGTTGGGGGTCGCGGCATTAAAAAGGTTGAGAACTGCACTATAATATGATAAATGCATAATCAAAACCCCCTGCCCATGGTGCACCTGGCCTTGGCGCCCTCTTCTTGCGACGGCGAAGTGGCTGAGGACGCGGCGGGGGCGGCGGGGAGCCCCAACAATGCTGCAATGCCTGCCACCGAGCCACTGCCTCAAGTCCTGCTCCCCCTCCCCACCTGTTCGCCTGAGGATGCGGCAGTCAGGCCGGGGGTGGCGGCTGGGCTGGGGGCGGTGGGGAGCCTTGACGATGCTGCAGTGGCCGCTGCCGTGCTGCCGCCACCGGAGTTGCTGCCTCCCGTCCTGCTCTCCCCGCCCGTTCGGCTGAGGATGCAGTGGGGACAATGGCTGGGCCGGGGGCGGCGGGGACCCCCGACGATGCTGCAGTGGCCGCCGCCACCGGAGCCACTGCCTCCCGTCCTGCTCCCCCTCCCTGCCCGTTCGGCTGAGGACACAGTGGGGGCGGCGGCTGGGAAACCCGATGATGCTGCAGTGGCCACCGCCATGCTGCCGCCACCGGAGCCTCTGCCTCCCGTCCTGCTCCCCCTCCCCATTTGTTTGGCTGAGGATGCGGTGGGGGTGGTGGCCGGGCCGGGGGGCAGCGGGGACCCCCAACAATGCTGCAGTGGCCGCCGCCGTGCCGCTGTCGCCGCCACCTCCCATCCTACTCCCCCTCCCTGCCCGTTCGGCGCTGTGTGCCTTTCGTTCTCTCTCCTCCCCTGGAGAGAGAGGGAGAGGGAGAGAGAGGGGGGGGAAGAGAGAGAGAAAAGAGAGAAAGAGAAAGAGAGGAAAGAGAGAGAGAAAGAGAGAGCGGAAAGAGAAAGAGGAAGGAGAAAGAGAGGAAAGAGAGAGAGGAAAGAGAAAGGAAAGAGAGAGGAGAGAGAGAGAGAGAGGAAAGAGAGAAAGAGGAGAGAGAGAGGAAAGAGAAAGGAAAGAGAGGAAAGAAAGAGAGAAAGAGATAGCGGAAAGAGAAAGAGAAAAGAGAAGGAGAGAAAGAGAGGAAAGAGAGAGAAAAAGAGGAAAGAGAAAGGAAAGAGAGAGGAAAGAGAGAAAGAGGAAAGAGAGAGAGAGAGAGGAAAGAGAAAGAGGAAAGAGAAAGAGAGAGGAAAGAAAGAGGAAAGAGAGAGAGAGGAAAGAGAAAGAGAGGGAGAGAAAGAGGGAGAGGAAAGAGAAAGAGGAAAAAGAAAGAGGGGGAGAGGAAAGAGAGAAAAAAAGAGGAAAGAGGGAAAGAGAAGAAAGAGGGAGAGGAAAGAGAGAAAGAGAGGAAAGAGAAACAGAGAGGGGGAGATGAAAGAGAGAGAGGAAAGAAAGAGACAAAGAGAGAGAGACAGAGACCCTTTTGACATCTAAAATGAAGATAACACTGCATATATCCCTTTTTACCTTTATTTTATATATATATATATACACGCAAACACATATACATACATACATATATATAATATATATATTAAAGGTAAAAAAAAGGATATATGCAGTGTTATCTTCATTTTAGATATCAAAAGGGTTTTGCGGCTCCCGGTGTTTTGTTTTCGGTGGGAAACGGGTCCAAGTGGCTCTTTGAGTGTTTTGGGTTGCCTACCCCTGAACTAGGAGACGGTGTAGTTGGGTAGCAGGAAGGGGTGCAAAGTTCCTGCCAATTTGCCTTCGCTGCAGACAACTTACATGTGCAAAGTTTGCCAGTCGGGTGTTTTGGCGCGCTCAGCTGCAATTCCTATTGGCTTTCGAAAGCCAATAGGGCAGTGGTTCTCAACCTTTTTAATGCCACAACCCCCAACCGGTCGTAAGTCAAGGACTACTCAACCGGTCGTAAGTCGAGGACTACTCAACGGGTGCAGCACCGTTTGCAGAATGGGGCTTTTGGCGGGCTCAGCAGGGCAGAGACAGCCTGGACAATTCCTATTGGCTTTTGAAAGCCGATAGAATTAGAGTCTATTCAAGAGAGTCTATTCTATTGGCTTTCAAAAGCCAATAGAATAAAAGGGAGTAGCACAGCTAAGGAAAAGGGGGGAAAAAATGGCAGACTGCGTTGTTTGGTGACCCCCGTGAAATGGTCTTTGGACCCCAAATGGGGTCCCGACCCCACAGGTTGAGAACCACTGCAATAGGGGGAATAGCACAGCTCATGCAAAAGTTGAAAAAAAAACATCAAAAAAAAAGGTGCCGGAATGCCATTCTGAGCATTTTATGAGAAAAAAAAAAGCCCTGCAGATTAGTCTTCAAATATCGAAAAGGAGGACATGTAGGAGGACACTTTTCGAGGGAGGACAGAACTCCCAAAAGGAGGACAGTTGGTCACGTTATTTTGGGGCCTTTGAATTAGCCCGGCAAGGACGATTTCAACCGGATTAGAGCTGGAAGGGATCTTGGAGGTCATCTAGTCCAGGGCTTTTCAACCTTTTCACCCATTGTACCACTTTTAGGATATGGCAACATCCGAGTACCACCAGTCGACTAGCAAGGTGTCAAAACCTTGATGACCCCCCCCCAAAAAAGGGGAAAAAGTGATAAAGTACAGGTAGTCCTTGACTTACAACAGTTCACTTAGTGACTGTTCAAAGTTACAGTGGCACTGAAAAAGGTGCCCCCCAAGCCACAGCCGAGCAAGACACCTGCCTGCCCACCCGGTGGCGCTCTTCCTCCTGTCCGAAGTTTTCATTGTTGTGAGCATTTCTGTTGAGGATTGGCAGTGGGGGTGGGGTGGGGGGTGTTTGGCTTTTATCCCCCCCCCCGTCTGCTGGGTGGTTGCAGCAGGTTTTGGTCACTTCACATGACCCTGGGACACTGTGACCGTCATAAATATGAATCCGTTGCCAAGCATCTGAATGTACATCACAAGTCCCTGGAGAGGCTGCAACATTCCAGCTGATCGGCGCTTCTTCTGGGCTCAGCAGAAGCACCAGGATCAGTGCTGAGCTCCGCTGAGCTGAAGTGCCGATCCTGGAAAGCGGCACTGATCCTGGCCCTTCCGCTGAGCCCTGACAGCCCTGCAGCTCCAGCCGTCTCTCGCTCAGGCTTGTGCGCTGCTGCCACCGGTTCAGCTCATTCCCCTCCCCCGCTACCCCTTTTCTAAGATGGTCGCGTACCACCTGCCAGGTGCCAATGTACCACAGATGGTACCCGTACCACTGGTTGGAAAGCCCTGATCTAGTCCAACCCCCTGCTCAGACAGGAGACCCTGTGTACCATTTCAGACAAATGATTGTCCGGCCTCTTCTTAAAAAAAAAAAAAAACCTCCAGTGATGGAGCACTTAGAATGAAACAGAACAACAGAAATTGGAAGGGACCTTGGAGGTCATCTAGTCCAACCCCCTGCTCAGTCAGGAGACCCCGTGTATCATTTCAGAGAAATGGCTGTCTAGTCTCTTCTTAAAAACCTCAAGTGATGGAGCAACTGCAACTTCTGGTGGCAAGCTGTTCCACTGGTTAATTGTCCTCACTGTTAGAACATTTCTCCTTAATTCCAGGTTAATTTTAACAAATTAACCTTTTTTTTTTCCAAGATTTTTTTTTTAGTTTGATCGGGGGTTGCATTGATCAGAAATGAGGATCACTTCATTGTCTGTCTGAATAAGAGGTTTGCGGGGAATTGTTTCTTTTTCCAATAAAAATTTAATAAATTTTTAATCAGTGTAATAATAATTTCGTAACAATTCATTAAATAACTGGAATAATTTAATTGTTTTTAATCTTTCAAATTCCGAAGACGAATTCCTTGTGTGTCTAACCACACTTGGTCAAATAAAGTATAAGTATACAAATATATATTAAAATATAATAAGAAAATATAAAAACTTTTCCTTAATATCCAAACACAGCTGGACTACAATGGCAGACACTCTTAAATTAAACAAATATATTAGCAACTCTCTCTCTCTTTCTCTTTCTCTCTCTCTTTCTCCCTTCGTCTCTCTTTTGTTTTTTCTCTTTTTGTCTGTTTCTTTCTCCCTTCTCTCTTTCTCTCTATCGTTTTTATCTTTCTCTTTCTCTCTCTTTCTCGCTGTTTCTCTCTCTTTCGCCCTTCTCTCTCTCTTACTTTCTTTCTTGCTTTCTCTCATTTTTTCTTTCTGTTTCTCTTTCTCTCACTGTTTCTCTTTTTCTCTCTTCTCTCTCTCTCATTTTTTCTTTCTCTCTCTTTCTCATTCTCTCACTGTTTCTCTCTCGTTTGCCCCCCCCTTTCTCTCTCTTTTCTCTTTCTCTCACTGTTTCTCTGTTTCGCCCTGCTCTCTCTGTCTCTTTCTCTCATTTTTTCTTTCTGTCTCTCTTTCTCTTTCTCTCACTGTTCTCTCTCTTTCTC